AATCGCGTAATACTTGTAGTGTACACGTGTATCTCGCTTATATATAAAGTTATATTCATTATATTCCATCAGATCTCGCGCGCGCGCGCGCGCAACCTAAATTCACTGAGTCTTATTCTATTATTTATACACGGTAATCAAATAATCAATATGTCGTTCATACGCTGAACGTTTGCTGCTTGTTTTTTTTTTTTTTCGTGTTTGTGTTTCAATCAATTTTTTCGAACTTTCAGATCTACTACACAGATATTTCTCTTTCCTCTTTTTTCTCGTTCTCAAAGCGATTTATTACAAACATGTTTTTTTTTTTTTTTTTTTCAGAAACTTTTTATTAAACACACGATTACTCGGATGTAATTCGAATTGTTTTAAATGTACCGTGCTATTATGTTCACAAAGAAAAACCGCGTAATGTTCGGAGACGCGTTAGGTGTTACACAAACGCGTCATGTCGTAAGAAACACTGGTGTATTTTTTTGTTTTTTTTCTCAGTGTAAAAAAACGAAACTTGTCGAATTTCTCAGTGCCCCTTCATTTCGTCACTCAGATGATTGACACGCTCTGACGTCGCGTTCGCGCGATTTCGTAGATTTCGAATCATCGAGAAGCGCGATTGCGATTTACCGCAGCAAATTGATCTTTTACCGTGTTCGCGTTCACAATTCACCGTTCATTTTTTTACTTGTATACCTACTTCAATTCAGTGTCGATACAAATCGTAAAATAAATTTTTCGCACACGATATCTCGCGCCGCGGAATTAGCTCGCAAGCGGCGGCACGTTAAAAAAAAAAAAAAGCACTTTCTAATAACGAGGAGAGAAGGGGTTGGTTCGATAATCACACCAGCGGGTTACACAACCGGCAACCGAACGATTCGCGAAATCTATTATGTGGCTCAATGACGAAACTCCCCTTTCCCTCTCCTCTCCAACGTTTTCGTGTGTTGTTCTGTCGAAAACGCCGGAACCTGTGATTTCCCTCTATAGATATATAACTTCTGTTTCTGCCACCGTCACGTGCACAGAAGTGTCGTTGTGTCGCCCGCGCGCGCGTGTCACGTGACTCGGTCGTGATGAAAGTGTGTCGTGACCAGTCGCGCAACGAGAGCCACCCGAGACAGTTGTGACACTTACAACATGCACGGATAAGTAACGACGAGCGAATCGGGAATCACAACTGACTTGTGAAACATACGTAACTCGATTGAGAAATTCAAAAATCGATTCGGAGAATTCGCGAATTTAAAAGCGAATTCCGCGGAGTCGATACATTTTTTTTTTTTTATCGGAATTATTACTTTCGAATTACGCGGAAAAAAAATTTAACTGAATTTTTATTTAATAATTCCAATACCCCACAAAAAGTGGATCACCGGATTGAAATAATTTCTTCTGGAAGAAAGAAGAAACTACAATAAACGCAAACGCCGTATTCACTTCGTATTTTGCTTTACGCCGTAAAGTTTTATCGAGAACGATCAAACGCACATATCGAAATAAAACGCTGTGAGCGCGCGCGAAGCGTACACGCACCGGAAGTGGGCGACCGAATCGCGCGGGTTAACGATCGGTCACTGACTTATTCGCGCAAAAGGTCCGGGACCGCTGCAAATACACTGCAAATTTAAGTACCGGCGTAAAAAGTAACGGACCCCCCAGCTTAAAAGACGTCGACTCTTGTACTGAATCGCGCCGGCCCCTTTACCTCGTTGTCCTTGTAGGGACTAGTTTCTCGGTTTCTTAGGTTTCCCGTTGAGAGAACGCGCATATCCGAAAAATCCTCATAGCGTCATCATCTCCCTCCTTCCTTTCTAGTTCGCGATCTTTCTAAATGAACTTTCTTACGAAACATTTCAGATAATTAAAACACACAGATGTGAGGAATAAAGAGCAACAAATCTTTGACTCAACATCTGATAACGCCTAATCGTGCCAAGTTATAAATCGCGTAAACGATTAAAATGCAGAAAATGTCGACTGCCTTCGATCGCTCCCACTTCCAGAATGCAATTTCTTTCAAAATGCTAATTAATCGATTCCGATAAGGAATCTGGTTGCGTGTCTGGCCGAACTTTTATCGAGCGATCGAGAACGTGAAAACCGACGCGTTTATCCTTGAACTCGCTTGTAAAAATCTGAACAAAAGAGAAGATATCGCGCGCGCGAGAGAAAAGTCTGTTCTCTTCTCTTGTCTCTTCCTCCTCTATTAGCCTAGACACGAGCTGAAAGTCTCTCTTCTAGCGCGGCTTACTTTTTTTTTCTTTCTTTTTTCTTTTTTTTTTCTTCTTTTTTTTTTTTAACCAGATTTGTCCCTGATCTCGAGTTCGCGTTAAAAGTAAAAGCAACTTTTTATCGTCGTTCATTTTTACAAATCGTAACAAAACTCGTGTGCACCAAGTTTTTAAATATTTACGAATATTTAAATTACATAATAACGAGACGGGCTTCGGACAACAATGCGGCAAAGAGATGAAAAATATGTGTCGAGTAAAATCGTGACTTTTTTTGTCGTTACGCAATCGCTTCGATTTTTAAGAGTGACCTATTCACATAGGGAGAGTAAAAAGTTTTATCGGGACGACAATTAAGTTCTCGGCGAGCTTAAATACAACTTGATAACCGGGAATTTTCTCTTCTTGAATAAATCGAGTGTGAAAACGAAAGAAAATCGCGCGAACAATGTCGCAGCAAAAAATACACGATCATCCTGGTTAAACGCGGCGGTGTGTAAAACAAGTAACAGTCATCGTTCTCTACTTTCGCCCAAATTGGACGATCATGCGGGATGAATCATGTAGAGGCGATGTTGTGTAGTGACTGGTGAGAGTGTTCGAAAGGTTTCGTTTCTCGCGTGAGTATATATAAAAGTGAGATGTCTCGATTATGCGACTTGAAATTGGGTTATCGATCTGTTATCGATCTGTATCGTTATCAATTTTTCGACACTACAAAAAAGCTTTTTCTGTTCATTTTCATTTGCAGGCTAAAATATTTTTTATATGCACATTCGTGATGCAAACCAAGCATTTGACAGAGATGTAGATTTTGGATTAAATTTAACTCGAAACTCTTAATTCTAAAATTTCCAATCTTATGATTGCAATAAATTAAAAAAATAATAACATTGTGAAAAATATTATTTTTATATAATTTTATATTTAATAATTAACATTGCGCACCGACAAAACTGAAACACGCGCGTATTGGAAAAGATTATTTAATTTTTCCGATTTCTTCATCGAGGTTATCGATTCTCGATTCCGCGGCGACTCTATTCGCCGTCGTCTTTCCTTATTCGCCGCGCCGACCGGAAGCGCTCGTTGCTCATCGACCGCGACCTCAAATGCATCGCCTTCGCGCGACGACGACCCGCGCATGTGGGTCGCGCTTAGCCCACTTCACGACAGTCTTGATGCCGTGACATCGCCGTAACCGAGCGAGCGAGTCGAAATGGTCCCACGTGGAAAATTTCAGGTCGCCGCGCGCGCGCAATCGTGCGGCAGACAGCGTGGAGCTGCGCTTTCGAGATCGCATAAGAGGCGATCTCTTTCTCTCTCTCTCTCTCTCATCGACCTCGCGATTTCCAAATAGATTGTACACGCGAGGTGACAGATAATCCATCGCACAATACATATTTTATATGTATGCTAAATTTTCACAATTATCTCTGCGATGCCTTCGAATTTCATCTTATTTTATCTAACGTCAAAATAAAATAATTGTTGATGTAGAAAGAAAAAAAATTATAAATATAATATTACAGGTTGATTGATAACACAGTGTGTGTTAATACAGCAATAACATAAAACAAATTGCTTTAATTTTTAGTTCTATTTTATATATATATGCGTTACTTTTTCAATTAAAGTAATAAATAAGTCCGTGTTTGAGGAAGAAAGATCATTTTATCGCACTTTGTTAAAATTCACACGAGATCGCGAAGAATACTTGAATCTCAAATAAATGATCGAATACAGGAAAGCTACATGAAAGTCTTTATGCTTTATGTGAGAACGCATTGTTCCGGCCCTTTCTTGCGAGTTATTACTTAAGAGAATATCCGACGGAAATATTATAGACCAAGCGAAACTTCCTTGTGGAGGAAAGAATAACAGCAGAATACGCTTGTGTGCTTACTCGCAAAGAAAATTTCAAGTTTCTCATTCCAAAAAAACAAATCTTCCGCAACTTGTTAATTTGTTTGACAAACAGAAGAGATATTAATTAATCCAGCAAACATTAATTAATTTAATACCACGAGCAACACATTCGATAAGGTCAAAAATAATTGCAATGTTTCCGTTTTTGTACAAATTGTGCTCAATTGTTACGACTGTCTGTTATTAAAATTTACACACGAGATCGACTCGCGAAATGTTGCGTCGGAGCACGTTTCTTCGAGATAACGATTGCCAACTTCCTTGTTTCGTCAAGACTGCGCGACGACGACAAGTACAGCTGAATCGTCGTGTTTATACGCGGAATGTTTATACGATTTTCCCGACGAAGTCGTCGTGGCGACGAAATCACGCCGAAATAGCAAACCCGGTGTAATCAAAAGAGAGAATTTTCGGCGTCATCAAAAATCGGAGGAAACGACGGAACGTGTCCAAACGTACATCTCAAGAAAAATAAATTATTATCGCAAATCCGAGCTGTAAAATTTACGCGAGAGAAGTCGGTGGTTCGAGAACCCCACGTTCTCTCTCTCTCTCTCTCAAAATCGTTGCCAATTCTCGGAATCGGCAGAAATATTTTCGGCGACTACGTAACGGCAGCGTTTTCCAAACGATGAGCGCTAACACGTTTTCTTCGACGCAATGATATCTTTTATACGTTGCACACAAGCGATGTGTGTGCAAAAAGTAGCTTTGAAATTCGTCACCTTTGCCGTGTCAAAACTGTCGAAAATAAATTCAATTCAAAAGTCGCTCGTTGATTTTCTCAAGAACAAACATCTTCGCGATGTGTTGATGAGAACAATTGTTCGAAACACTTACCATCTTCAAGGTCTCTTCGGGCCTCAAAAGATAGAACATGGACTGCAAGTGTTGCTGAATATCGCATCCCGCCGTTGAAACTCGTCTGGAAGGACGAGCTCTTTCGTTCGGCGGTAAAATAAGGGCTGCGCCTTTGCCCGCAAAGTAACATTCGCTCAGACTGCAACAAAATAACAAACATATGTTTTGATTAAAGTAAAATTAACGTTTTTTATTATTTTATGTTTCAAAAAAAAAGAAACAAATTAAAATCACATTTATGAAAAAATTTTAACGCATTTTTAAAACATCGTTGCGTGTAACGATAACGGAAGATGATCGCACGTGTGCACACGCGTTTGTGTACACGCGTGCTTGGTGGTGCTATTTTTCCACGCTAAGTAAACCGTCACATTCTCATACGATAATGACCACTGACCAGACACGCGTTATATATATTATATACATGCCATTTACAATAACTTCCGCGGCAACGCGCCACAATAGAAAGTTTCACCTGAGACTTTTCCGCGGAATCGGGCACACAATAATGTACGTATAATTCTTTAATCGCGTGCGCTACACAATATTTATATAACGTGAGAAAATCGTTCTCTTTGTACGTGCAATCGAATGTTACATCAAAGCGTTTTGTAACAGATTGCGCCTCCGCCGCCAACACATATTGCTCGATGTTACACATTTGTTAATTTCTGACATGTCTCCACAGTTGTTTTTCTTTTGTGACAAAATATTGTTGCGGTTTTATTTAAAATTTTCATTTAATTAGATCAGTATGGACAGTTCAACAAACGACGACGATGAAACTGATGACGGAATTCACAAATCAAAGTGAAAATCTAACACCATCGAACCACACTCGACGAATTGGTTTCTCAACTTCACCGCGGATTCACCTTCTTTCTCATTCAGTAATTGTGTTTTATCGAGAGAGCCCCACGACAATGACTTTCATACAAGTGAATTACCTTACCGTGACGCGGCTCAATTACGCGCACGAGCGTAACTTATTAACAAATTGGGCCAAGTCAATCTCGCTCATTCTCTTAATATTCTCCGCGCGGTGAAGCGATCGCCAGTCTGGCCTTCTGATTATTAGCGGCCAAAGCTACATATACACCACAATTGCTGTAAATGTTCACCGATTAAATTGTCGCGCGGAGAATATTAATCGGTATGTAGTATATGTCTCACTTCATTTTTTCTCTTTACTTTATTCGAGATCGAGAGTTAGTTTTTTGAAATCAGTTGCTTTGTTGCTAAATATTTTAGTCATTCTGATCGTGATTTTTTCCAATAAAACGGTCGTAGAAGAATTTACCGATTATACGGTCATATAATACACAAATATTCAAAAACAAAACGACCAGCTAAAAAACAAAGTTTGTAAACCTCGATGTTTAAAGATGAGAGAGCGTGTACGCCGATTAGTGTCGCACAGGGGGATGCGACGTTCGAAGATATCGGTATATGAGCGCGGGGATGGCAGCTGATGTTGTTCAAGATAAAGACGAAGGATTGGAGAGGAGGGAGATGAGAAGCGGTTTCGAGAGACCATCTGCGCACAAAGCCGACATACAAAACACGAAAATAAAGATTATAGGGTCAAAAAAAGAGGGAAGGGGAAAATTCATCTTTTCTCCAACGATCTTTTACCTGTCGACGTAGCCACCGTTCAGATATATGACTGGCACCCCTGCGTTTGATGCTGCAGAGGCGTTCTCTTCGAATCTCTCCGTAATGGCTCTCACAAAAGACAACAATGACCACGGGAATAATAGATCACCCGGATGTTTCGAATCGCGTTGCAGCACACCTATGTGACGACGACACCCGTTACCAGAATATGACGCTGTTTCTTTTATCCTGGACTAACGAGGGAAATCGAAGACTCACGTTTCGCTTGTTCGCGCGGAAAAATAAAATTCTGTCTCGCAAACAAAAAACTCGCTAATTGTACGCGCTGTCCGGGAAGAGAACCGCTAATACGCCTCGCGTGTGCGTTTAGGCGGAGAATCGACGGGATACTAAAATCATCTCGGAAAGATTTAAGCTAATAAAACGAAACCGCGATCGGACGTGGGCGGATCTCTCTCTCTCTCTCTCTTTCTCTCTCCGCGTGCGCGAAGCGTAACGCGCTCGGTGGTTATATATCGGTTAGTTGTTATTATTAGCGCAAAGAGAGAAAGAGAGAGAAATAGCGTCGTTCCTCTTTACGTACCGCCATTCGGGACGCGCGCGAAAAGAAATTTCGTGGAAATCGCGCGCAGTCAAAAGCGAGATGTACGACGAGAATCTATGAATTCGCTGTTCGATGTTTGTTGTACGATGATGTTATCCGCGAACGACAAATTTTACAGTCGTCAAACGTTCTGTTTTCCGTATTACGAAAGTGAAACATATACTTTTTCGGCCAAAAATACTTTGTTCCGTTTTTTTCTTCTTTTTTGAACGCGCCGAGATTTACGGTAATTTTGCGGTAGATCGGCGTGTCGTGACAATCTATCGGGAGTTTAATTGTCGGCGTAAAAAAAAAGATCACGACGCGAATATAATCGAGAGCGCGTCTAGCAAATTGAACTGGCGCCGAGCACTGGATCTTTACGAAAGATAATATAATGCGAAGGGAGAAAGCGGTCAAGATAAGAATGACTCGAATCGCGAGCGCCGGCACCGTTAAAAGTCTATAAAATCCGCGCCAAACATTGACCGGCAATCGCAATCTATATATGCGCGTAACTATTTCAAAGATGGGAGAGCGGTCAGTAATGACGTCATTTCTACGTCAAGTTACGCTCGTTGTGCGCGCTCGTGTGCATCTCTTTTGCATGTGGGCGCGCATCTACAGGATGTACGCGGCTTTGTGAATAAACGCCGCTTCGATCGAATAAACGATACGGAAAAAATCCCAAATTTCAAAAGTCAAATTCTATTGAAAACTAGAGTATGTAAGAAAGTAAATATTGATGCGCGCATTATTTGCAACAACGACGTTAAAAATTTTACAGCTGAGTTAAACATTTCATTTGCTTTTTTAATTTACAAAGTAGTAAATATAGTAGTAAATATAGCTCAGTAAATAAATAAATAGATAAGATAAACCCCGATGAGCCATCAAAAACCCCATTGTTTTATTCTATCACCATCCTGGACTTTTGGCTCATCGGGGTTTATCTTATCTATTTTTTTTATTTACTTATAAAAAAAACTCGGAAAAACAACTTGTTTAAGAAAAACATAAACTGTTTAATTGTATACTATTTTGATTTCACACCGAGCAACAAAACGTCAAAGAGAGGAAGAAAGAGAACTGGTCTGAATCTTTTTTCCGTATTACGGTTTCCTCGCACGACGCCTCGTTTTATGGCGTAATCCGCGCGCGGACTGTCGATTTCTCGATATTTCGGATAATATTTTTGACAATAGCGGGAACCATTTCAACCGACGGCGTGTGCAGGTTCTTCTCTGAAGAATCCGGGTACGTATATTTCGGTCGTGAACGAACAGCAGACAGAATGCTGCTAAAATTAGCGTAAACGTTCCGCAAGTGGGAAACTCTTTTCCTCTCTCTCTCTCTTCAAAGTTATCTCTTTTCGCCGTACTGCAAAATATATAAAATAATATCTCTTTCTCAAAATTAACTTTGACAACTCAAAGAAGTCTTTGTCAGCGCTTTTTCAAAGTGTTAATCTTCGGAAAAAGAAAGAAGAAAGAAAAAAGAAACAGTAATATTAAAATTTATCAAAATTCTTGAAAATATTTTCTTATTCACATTGAGTGTGTTTAAAATTTCGACGTTATCGCGTAAAGTAGAAAGATTAATTTATAAAACTGACTTGTCTGGCTTTTAACAATCGCGTATTTTTGTCATCAATGCGTACACTTACAATCGCGTGTTTCGTCAGCGCGCGGTAATATCGCGTTACGCGCGCGAGAGACGCGCGATGAGGAAACTCTTCAGCACATATAAACGAACCTGCGCGTCACTGTGGTGCAGAAAAGGGTGAGAATACATGCACTTTCTGCGCATCTTTCACGGTACTTGGCCACGGTTTAGCGATAAAACGCGCGAATCACCTTGAACGCATCCGATGCGCGACCTGTTCCCTTTTCGTATGACGTGCATCGCGGACACGTGCGTAAGCCCGTGGATGATAAAATGCGCCGAGATGCACTTTTGCCACGTATAAAAAGAAATCGTTAGTATACACACTCCGAGCGATAATCCGAACGAAGTTTTACTCAGAACTTTTTATCGCAGAATAAACGGGAGTAAGTAATGCTCTTTCGCCGTCATACAATTAAAATCCTTGATCATACTCATATAAAAACAGTCTCACAAAACGTGTATAAAAAATTAATGAAATTATTTTTTGAAGATATAACATCATTATGTAAATATAAAATAGTTTTCGACAACACACAGTCTTGTTACTTTATATCTCATTATCATATTGTTATTTTGAACATATTATTATATTTGAAAGATGTCACTGGCAAAACCAGCAAATTTCACTCGCATGTAATTTTATGTGACGTAGTGATACGTCAATCGCCAGTAACGTATAAGTTGACTATGACGTGCAGTAATATGTAAATGGTCAGTCGTAAATCTCCTACATACGGCGACACATCGGATAAATGAGAAGGCGTTAACCCATTATCCATGTATGCGTTATGTAAATTAGTCCGTTATCGTGCCAGACGCATTAATGCGAATTTATTTATGCGACGCATTTAACGCAAGTTTCCATCAAATTTTGCTTGTTTCGAGTGTGTTGATTTTTGTCCGAGTAACATTTCACGAAAATCGACATCTCGATGATAAGAGATACGGGTAATTGGGGTCTTACATATTTTCTCTGTAATTTTATTGTGTTCTGACGGTCGCGCAAAGGTTACGAGCATTAATTATCCGCGGCCGAGAAAAAAAAAAACGCGTTTCTCCCTCGTGGCGCCGCGAGAATTTCCACCGAGGAATCGTTCGCGAAACCGGTATATATAATGACCGGTATTTCTCACGCTCGCCCGCGATTCTCATACAGTTCTTTTCGCAGCCGCGATTTTCCTTAGACACACAGACACAATTGGTCGAAGACACAATTGTCGTACAACCGTTTAGCCGCCCACGATTGCGGAACAGCGACGATTACCGAGATC